CCCCAAAACCCCAAAACCCCAAAACCCCAAAACCCCACAGATGCTAGCTTGTATTGATAATAATTTTTTATTCCCAAAAACAAAATGGATAAAAGTAAAATATCATTAGAAATATTCTTAACTGCAAAGCTTCAGACTTGGAGCTGTATCATGAAGAAGCTTTAAAAACTTCTTGGTCCCAGATAGTTTTTCAGCAAGATAACAAGGTGTTTATGCATTGTTGAAGATTCTATCTTCGCTTTTTGAAAAATTCTTAATAACTTAAATATCGCACAATAGTTGTTGGAAGAGGTTATTTCTCATAAATTTTGTGCATAGATTCCATATCTTTAGGATAGATCTGACAATAAATATAGACGAGTCAAACTCCCAACTTGATAGGACATCAACTATCAAAAAGGACAACATAAGTGAAGAAAATGAGGAAAACTTAGATTTCTTTGCTCAACTCAAACTTAGGTTTGAACAAAAGAGAGAGAACGGTGAAGACGATTCAAGCTCCTGATTTTCAGCAACTTCATCAGAGAGTGACTCAAATCCATTTGCCCAACCTCAAATATTTGAGAGCCCGCTCCCGCTCTATAGGAAAGAATATGGAGGAATTGTGGTATATGATGTAGATGCTATAATGGTAATAACATCTTTTTATGAGCTAAAGTTACTCCTACATTGACTTTCATTTTAAAGATCTCAATCTAACCAATAAATTAGGATAGTGATAGTTCTGAAGATTCTAAGCAGCAATCACCGAAGAAAGGAAAAGTGGCTGAAAATAACGATCAAAAAGAGACTGAAGGTAAATTTCGGTCCAACAGTATAGAAACTCCTTCTAAAACTACTGGAAAAGAAGAAACTATGAGAGAATCCTCATCAATTCTTAAAGTTAAAGAGTATTAGAATCTCGTTTAGAGTATAGTCTCAAGAGTATCTCAAAAGAATGACCAACTTATGGGCCCAATGAATGTCCGCCAGACAAGCAATGGCTTAAACGACAACCTATGGTTAAACACCTAATCAACAGAGAGGGTAAGAATCATCATGATTATAATAGACCGGAACATACTTCAAAACTGTATTGTTAAATTTTCCAAGAAAAGATCTTATAAGAATGAGGGAAGAAAAAACTACAAGCTCACTCTTCCCCCAACTGAGCAGACGATGATAAAGTTTGAATCTCGGTTTGAAAATGGAAACCTGTGGAAGGCAATCAAACTTGATGATTTTGAATACAACCTCGTCTTGCTCAATGACTTCAATACAAGCGGGCATACTCAATGGTATTATTTCAAGGTCACATCAAAATTCAAAGCAGGTATGCCTCACCATGATATTTTAGGGGCTAAAATAAAGTTCAACATAGTCAATCTATCCAAGCCCGATAGCTTGTCTAATGAAGGAATGAAGCCATGTGTTAAGTCACAAAAGCATCTAGACAAGAGGGGAGAAGGTTGGCACCGAGATTGTACCAATGTCTCATATAAAATGAATAAATTTCTGCGTAACAGAGAACGTAAGCCTGATCCTATAAATTTCCCAAGTGCTCCAACTTGGACTTACTATTACTTCACTCTAAGCTTCACATATGAATTCAAATATGATGACGACACAGTATGGTTTGCCCATGCTGTGCCTTACACTTACACTGATGATCTCCTGCCTTTATTAAGCAAGCTAGCTCATAATCTTCCTATTGAACCCAACTCAGAGTGTGAGACGCTAGAATCCACTAAGAATGAGGATTGCTCTGAGACCTCAGAAAAGGATGATGCTAACAAGACGGATTACTGCAACTTTCTTAAGATAGGTACTCTTTGCAAGACCCTAGCTGGAAATCATCTCAAGTTCCTTACCATTACAGATAATATCCAGACATATCGGGACTGCAATGAAGATGTTGATTGGTAAGATTCCCTTAAAACTTTAGGACTCTCAAGCATCAGTCTGTAAGGGCTCAGATCCGAGCCAAAGTAGAAAAAGATCAAAAATTCTTCTACGATCAAGAATCTCCTGATAAGTGGGAGTACGAGAACAGAATGAAGAAAGCACTCCTTGATTTCTCACCTGCAAGGAAGATGAACAAAAGAGTCCCAAAATTTGAAAAGATGTTAAAGCAGGTGAACAAGTTTCACTCCCATAAGAAGGGAGTTTTTATATCAGCCAGAGTACATCCTGGGGAGCCTCAATCTTCTTGGGTTTGCCAAGGATTAATCCAGTTCTTGGTTAGCAATGATCCCACTGCTAAACTTCTCAGGAAAAATTATGTGTTTAAAATAATCCCTATGCTAAACCCAGATGGAGTAATTTACGGAAACTATAGATGCTCTCTTCTTGGCTATGATCTTAACAGAAGATGGGACCATCCAAGTAAATATTTCGATCCAACTATCTACTACACAAAGAGATTATTGAAAGTTCTTCTTGAAGAAAGAGAGGTAAAACTCTTCTGTGATCTTCATGGACATTCTCGCAAATAAAAATATTTTCACATATGGATGTGATTACTACAATACATTCCAAGAGAGCAAGTATAATAATTTCCATTTGAGGCTATTTCCTTCCCTACTAAGCTCACTGAACAGCGATTTTAGTTTCAAAGATTGCACATTCAGAATAGAAAAATGTAAAACTCAGTGAGCAAGAGTTGTTGTATTCAAGCAATTTGGAGTCAGACTCAGCTTCACATTAGAATCTTCTTTCTATGGAAGAGAGAGCAGCAGGTCTAAGCATGGCACTCAGGATCTCCATTTCACAGTATGTCTCAAATTTTAATTATAGCCAAATGACTTGAAACTAATGGGAATTGATATCTGCAAAGGCATTTCATACTATCTTAACAAAGACTTCCTAGATACAATTGATTCTGTATCAAAATAAATTCGAAGCGAATAATGTCAAACAAAGTGATTCACAAACTTTGCTCAACTTTGGAAGTAAAGAAATTATTGATATCTCTGGAAAGGTAATTGCCCCAATGACATTTAGTACTCAAAAATCTTAACACGAGTCTGCAAAACTCTAAATAGCAAATATGATCAGTACTCCAAAGAGGATATTGAACAAACCTCAGAGGATGAAACGGACTCAGAATCAGATGACGATGAGACAAATCTAGTCAATCAAAAAATTAAAGAATTGAAATTGAATAAAGATAAAGAACAGAAGACAAAGACATTAAAGAAAGCTACCTCACGCCCAAAGAACAAGACTAAGTTGATAGTTGAAAAGTAAAATCTAAAGCTCATCTTTAGAAGGAAGATCAAAGATACTAAGAACTCCCCGAGTAAAACTCAGCTTAAAGGGAATTTCAAAGCAAGGAAAACCACAAAGAACAGGAATTATTTCAATCATATGAGAAATGTTCCATCTCGAGAATGGAAGCCAGATGTGGTTTATAATCATATCATCCCATCAGAGAGGTCAAAGAGGGAAGACGGTGGCCCATCTCTTCCTTATGAGTATAAATATGACTTTACATATCCAAATAAGTCTGAGAAGAAACAAATAAAGAATATCTTTAACAGTAGCCATGACTATTCCAACCTTGGTGTAAGCTTATACCTAAAGATTTAGCCAAAGACTATCAACTTCAAGAGAGCTCTTGAAGGTGATTCCTCAGGTGCCACCAAAGACAGAAGGAACTTTAAGAAAACTAGTCCCCATCTAAATGAAAACTCTGAATATAAACGAGAGAATAGCTTTACAGAAATAAATAGTTCGACTCCGTACTTATAGCTCCATGAAAGAAGGCCAAATCATCGAATGATACTAAAATTGGAGATGATTACTTCCTCCCTGCCAAGATCAAAGGCAATGAGAATTTTATCATTGAGAAAAACCAAGAAATTTACCTCGAAAAGAGATACAATATGAAAAGTTTTGAAAAGATTTCAATACATTCGAGAAAAAATAAGAGAAATGACCAGCTTGAGGATCATAACATAGGTGAAAGCCTACCCCAGATGAATAGGCTAGGGATGAGAAAGAACACTAGATCTAATGCAAGGAATGCTGCTAAAATTGAACAACTCTTCTATGAGAAATCAAAATCTCAAAGAAGAGCTATTCCTTTAATAAATCCAATAAATGTTCAAAAGTCTGATTTCAGTCTCTCAGGGATGATAAAAGGAAGGAATATCCAAAGAGATCCAACTTCAGATAACCAGTCTTCCCATGAAGCTGAAAGGGTGTTACAGTAATTGTCTGTCTTACCTATAGTATGAGGCATAAAAGATTCAAGCCAAAGACACATAAGAGTACTATATTCTCTAATATTTTAGAATTAATTAACTTAAATCCTTATGAAAATACTGTCAGAAAAGCAGAAGGAGCCAAAGTAGGATTCTAGTAAGCTCTGGGACTCTAACTCTGCAGCGTATTTCCATTTGCAAACGATGAGAGAAACAAATGAAAATTTCCTGGCAAGCCAGTACAATATGACTAATCTTTCAACCTAGCAACATTGGCTTGGGGTTTTGGGGTTTTGGGGTTTTGGGGTTTTGGGGTTTTGGGG